ACTCTCTCTGTGACTCCCTTGTCCGCTCCACACTCCCCTCCAGCCCCACCACACCCGGCACTTTTCCCTGCAACCGCAGGAAGTGCTACACCTAACCCTACACCTCCCCCCTCACCCCCATCCTAGGCCCCAAGAAGACTTTCCACATCAAGCAGATGTTCACCTGCACATCTGCTAATGTGGTATACTGCATCCGCTGTTCCTGTTGTGGCCTCCTCTACATCGGGGAAACCATGCGGAGGCTTGGGGACCACTTTGCAGAACACCTACGCTCGGTTCGCACTAAACAACTGCACCTTCCAGTCGCGAACCATTTCAACTCCCCCTCCCATTCCTCAGACGACATGTCCATCCTGGGCCTCCTGCAGTGCCACAACGATGCCACCCGAAGGTTGCAGGAACAGCAACTCATATTCCGCTTGGGAACCCTGCAGCCCAATGGTATCAATGTGGACTTCAAGCTTCAAAATCTCCCCTCCCCCTACCGCATCCTAAACCAGCCCAGCTCGTCCCCGCTTCCCTAACCTGTCCTTCCTCCCACGTATCCCCCGCCCCGCCTCAAGCCCCACCCCCATCTCCTACCTACTAACCTCATCCTGCCCCCTTGACCTGTCCGTCCTCCTTGGACGGACCTATCTCCTCCCTAACTCCCCGCCTCTTTGACCTGTCTGTCTCCTCTCCACCTATTTTCTCCTCTATTCATCTTCTATCCGCCTCCCCCCTCTCCCTATTTATTTCAGAACCCCCTTCCCCTCCCCGATTCCTGAAGAAGTGTCTAGGTCCGAAATGTCAGCCTTCCTGCTCCTCTGATGTTGCTTGGCCTGCTGTGTTCATCCAGATCTACACCCTGTTATCTCTTAACCTGATGTTTGATTGCCTTTGGACTTTAATCTTGTCTGATCTCTAACCCTCCTTCCCCTCCCCTTCCATTCTACCTAATCATCCCCATCATTTTCAACAGCATAAAACCCACCATATTTCTAGCTCTCTTCATTTTTTGAAAATGGATTCAAAACGTTAGCTCTGTTTCCCTCTCCAGATGCTGCCAGGCCTGCAGGGTTTCTCCAGCATTTTGTTTTGTTTGATTCTCCAGCATCTGCAGTATTTCTCTTTTCTTGACCTGGTCTTTATCATGTTTGTAGAAAGGTTCGAAATGGTATCGGAGTAAATGTTCAGTGCCGCCTTATTGCCTGAGTGGTGTGGTCTGGTCTGGACCAGCCTCATGGTCCAAAGGCTCAGGTAGGGACTAAGCCGTTTCTAAAGGCCTACCTATGTCCTATAGTTGAGCAAGTGAAGAACTAATTCATGTCTGATTGCTGGACAGTATTGTTTCCACTGATGGGTTTTTTTTTTCTTTTTTTTTTTGTTGCCTTCTGCAGCCAGTCTACAACTGCTAGAACAAACAGAGTTGTTATCTCTGGTTTGTTACCCGTGCCACGTGCTAGCGAGGCGAGGAATAGGGAGAGAGAGCAGTTGAACACGTGGCTACAGGGATGGTGCAGGAGGGAGGGATTCAGATACCTGGATAATTGGGGCTCATTCTGGGGTAGGTGGGACCTCTACAAACGGGATGGTCTACACCTGAACCAGAGGGGTACCAATATCCTGGGGGAGAAATTTGCTAATGCTCTTCGGGAGGGTTTAAACTAATTCAGCAGGGGGATGGGAACCTGAATTGTAGCTCCAGTGTACAGGAGGTTGAGAGTAATGAGGTCATGAGTAAGGTTTCAAGGTCGCAGGAGTGTACCGGCAGGCAGGAAGGTGGTTTGAAGTGTCTACTTCAATACCAGGAGCATCCGGAATAAGGTGAGTGAACTTGCAGCATTGGTTGGTACCTGGGACTTCGATGTTGTGGCCATTTCGGAGACATGGATAGAGCAGGGACCGGAATGGTTGTCGCAGGTTCCGGGGTTTAGATGTTTGTTTCGGTAAGATCAGAGAAGGTGGTAAAAAAGGGGGAGGCGTGGCATTGTTAGTCAAGGACAGTATAACGGTGGCTGAAAGGACATTTGATGAGGACTCGTCTACTGAGGTAGTATGGGCTGAGGTTAGAAACAGGAAAGGAGAGGTCACCCTGTTGGGAGTTTTCTATAGGCCTCCAAAAAGTTCCAGAGATGTAGAGGAAGAGATTGAAAAGATGATTCTGGATAGGAGCGAAAGTAACAGGGTAGTTGTTATGGGGGACTTTAACTTTCCAAATATTGACTGGAAACGCTATAGTTCGAGTACTTTAGATGGGTCAGTTTTTGTCCAATGTGTGCAGGAGGGTTTCCTGACACAGTATGTAGATAGACCAACAAGAGGCGAGCCCACATTGGATTTGGTACTGGGTAATGAACCAGGCCAGGTGTTAGATTTGGAGATAGGTGAGCACTTTGGTGATAGTGGCCACAATTCGGTTACATTTACTTTAACGATGGAAAGGGATAGGTATATACCGCAGGGCAAGAGTTTTATAGCTGGGGGAGGCGATTAGGCAAGATTTAGGATGCATAGGATGGAGAAGGAAACTGCAGGGGCTGGGCACAATTGAAATGTGGAGCTTGTTCAAGGAACAGCTACTGCGTGTCCTTGAGAAGTATGTACCTGTCAGGCAGGGAGGAGGCGGTCGAGCGAGGGAACCGTGGTTTACTAAAGAATTTGAATCTCTTGTCAAGAGGAAGAAGGAGGCTTATGTAGAGATGAGGCGTGAAGGCTCAGTGAGGGCGCTTGAGAGTTACAAGTTAGCCAGGAAGGACCTAAAGAGAGAGCTAAGAAGAGCCAGGAGGGGACATGAGAAGTCTTTAGCACGTAGGATCAAGGAAAACCCTAAAGCTTTCTATAGATATGTCAGGAATAAAAGAATGACTAGAGTAAGATTAGGGCCAGTCAAGGACAGTAATGGGAAGTTGTGTGTGGAGTCCGAAGAGATAGGAGAGGCTCTAAGTGAATATATTCCGTCAGTATTCACACAGGAAAAAGACAATGTTGTTGAGGAGAATACCGAGATACAGGCTATTGGACTAGACAGGATTGAGGTTCATAAGAAGGAGGTGTTAGCAATTCTGGAAGGTGTGAAAATAGATAAGTCCCCTGGGCCAGATGGGATTTATCCTAGGATTCTCTGGGAAGCTAGGGAGGAGATTGCAGAGCCTTTGGCTTTGATCTTTATGTCGTCATTGTCTTCAGGAATAGTGCCAGAAGACTGGAGACTAGCAAATGTTGTCCCCTTGTTCAAGAAGGGGAGTAGAGACAACCCTGGTAATTATAGACCAGTGAGCCTTACTTCGGTTGTGGGTAAAGTGTTGGAAAGGATTATAAGAGATAGGATTTATAATCCTATAGAAAGGAATAATTTGATTAGGGATAGTCAACACGGTTTTATGAAGGGTAGGTCGTGCCTCACAAACCTTTATTGAGTTCTTTAAGAAGGTGACCAAACAGGTGGATGAGGGTAAAGCGGTTGATGTGGTGTATATGGATTTCAGTAAAGCATTTGATAAGGTTCCCCATGGTAGGCTATGGCAGAAAATATGGAGGCATGGGATTGAGGGTGATTTAGTGGTTTGGATCAGAAATTGGCTAGCTGTAAGAAGACAGAGGGTGGTGGTTGATGGGAAATGTTCATCCTGGAGTTCAGTTACTAGTGGTGTACCTCGAGGATCTGTTTTGGGGCCACTGCTGTTTGTCATTTTTATAAATGACCTGGATGAGGGTGTAGACGGATGGGTTAGTAAATTTGCGGATGACACCAAAGTCGGTGGAGTTGTGGATAGTGCAGAAGGATGTTGCAGGTTACAGAGGGACATAGATAAGCTGCAGTGCTGGGCTGAGAGGTGGCAAATGGAGTTTAATGTGGAAAAGTGTGAGGTGATTCACTTTGGAAGGAGTAACAGGAATACAGAGTACTGGGCTAATGGTAAGATTCTTGGTAGTGTGGATGAACAGAGAGATCTCGGTGTCCATGTGCATAGATCACTGAAAGTTGCCACCCAGGTTGATAGGGTTGTTAAGAAGGCGTATGGTGTGTTAGGTTTTATTGGTAGAGCGATTTGAGTTTCAGAGCCATGAGGTCATGTTGCAGCTGTACAAAACTCTGGTGCGGCCGCACTTAGAGTATTGCGTACAGTTCTGGTCACCGCATTATAGGAAGGATGTGGAAGCATTGGAAAGGGTGCAGAGGAGATTTACCAGGATGTTGCCTGGTATGGAGGGAAGGTCTTATGAGGAAAGGCTGAGGGACTTGAGGCTGTTTTCGTTAGAGAGAAGAAGGTTAAGAGGTGACTTAATAGAGACACACAAGATGATCAGAGGATTAGATAGGGTGGACAGTGGGAGCCTTTTTCCTTGGATGGTGATGGCTAGCACGAGGGGACATAGCTTTAAATTGAGGGGTGATAGATATAGGACAGATGTCAGAGGTAGGTTCTTTACTCAGAGTAGTAAGGGCGTGGAATGCCCTGCCTGCAAAAGTAGTAGACTCGCCCACTTTAAGGGCATTTAAATGGTCATTGGATAAACATATGGATGATAATGGAATAGTGTAGGTTAGATGGGCTTCAGATTGGTTTCACAGGTCAGCGCAACATCGAGGGCCGAAGGGCCTGTACTGCGCTGTAATGTCCTATGTTCTATGCTGCCACCATGTTGTAAAGTTTATATTGAGGCTGTACTGGGAGAGATGAGTCTGCCTTCATACCGGTGAACAGGAACCCCCTATTAATGATGTACACTATCATAGAATCAAAGAATCCCTACGGTGTGGAAACAGGCCCTTCAGCCCAACAAGTTCACACCGACCCTTGGAGCATCCCACCCAGACCCATCCCCCTATAACCGACATACTCCTGAACACTACATACAGAATTAGGAGAGAAATTCCCAGAACCATTCTGGCTTGATTCTAATTCCAAGTGTGTCTGATATCATCAGGCACTCTAATGACATATTCCATTCATTAGCACAATGCAACTTAACCATTTTCTTGATACTAAATCCGTTTGCTTTCTTTTGGTTGTCAGAGTGCAAACATTCTTCACAAGAATTCCTCAAGAAGTCAAAACCAGGTTTGTCTACCTTTCTGGCTGCAGCAAGACTTTCTTCCATGCTGAACGACAGAGAAGAAATTTATGTCAATTGTATGGTTGTAGATCAGGTAAGACCTGCAAAAATATTTCAAACTATTGCCAAATAATTTAAATAAGCTAATTGATAATCTTGTTTCATGTTACTCCTTAACACTTTGACTCCAGTTAAAAATAAAATTATATCAATGTATTGAAGTAATTATAAAGTAGCCAAAATAAAACAGAGCTCTGTTTATATTTATTCACAGGATGAGGGCGTTGCTGGCTGCGCCAGCATTTATTGTCCATCCCTAATTTCTCAGAGGGCAGTTGAGAGTCAACCACATTGCTGTGGGTCTGGAGTCACATGTAGGCCAGACCAGATAAGGATTGTAGTTTCCTTCCCTAAAGGACATTAATGAACCAGATAGGTTTTTTCAATAATCGACAATGAATACGTGGTCATCATGAGACTCTTTAACCCAGATTTTTATTGAATTAAAATTCCACCATCTGCTGTGGTGGGATTTGAACCCATGTGCCCAGAACATTACTTGGGCCTCTAGGTTAATTATCAACCTCTAATACCACTAGGCCATTGCCTCCCGTAAGGCTACATGTGGATGCTACAAATCTGAAACAAAAAACAGAAATTGCTGGAGAAACTCCACAGGTCTGGCAGCATCTGCGGGAAGAAAGCAGACTTAATGTTTCGAGTCCAGTGATTTTTCATCGGAATTACAAAACAACTCCCTGATACACCTTGTTCTGCAATTGCAATTCTTGCTGTGAAATACTCAGAATCACACAAAAGGGACATATAGTGTGTTATAAAGCGGAGATTGACCTCTCTTCCCTTCCCTCCCCGCGCCCCCCCCCCACCCCCTGAGAACTAAAAAAACTGAAAGCCCCCAGAGAGGAGCACCTGGCTCTATAATCTGTAAAAGGAGTGTGATAAGTGTTATAACCTGCTTTTCAGCAACTTCTAGTGGTTAAATAAAATAAACTGCTGACACTCAACATGTAACAATTTATTTATTTAACTCTAGCAATGAACAAATTAACTAAACTATTAACAAACCAAATAAACCTCTTCTAACTACTAACCATTCCCGAAAACAACAAGATTCTAATGGTATGCTGTTCCAATAAATACAAATCCCACTTTGACAAAAAAAACTTAGTCTCTTAAAATTACAGCCAGGTTACGTGTCTTCCGGAATGCTTTGTGGCTTCTCCATGGATTCTTCTGTCAGGAATGTTAACTGGTTATGCTGTGGGTACCTTTGCTATTTAGATGGTGCTTCCTCTAAGACTTAGAGAAGTCTGCGAGAGTCGGCTATTCTCGAGAGCTGATGGCTGTTAACTCTGGCGGACAGCTGTTTGCTCTGCAGTCTTTATCCAACTGCCCTCTTCATTTGTACCCTTGATTACACATCAATTTCTTACAATAGGATTGGTCCTATGTTGTCAAAACCATCAGATTTAAATTTAATTTTTTTTTGTATCTAAGTGCCTGGTTCAAATTGACTAAATAAATTCAAAACTTGTTGTCTTGGTAAAAACTGCTGCTTGGCCTGCTAATTGTACAGCCTTTTGATACGAATGTTTCAATTTGGGTGCTCTCTGTATACTTGCAAACTTTCAAACTGCTGCTCGCAGACATCCTTTTTAAATCTCTCAGCATAGAAAAAGCACATCATCTTTTAAAATGACCATGCAATGGTTTCCCCCCTGCCTAGCATTGTACAAACACTAAATTGTAACATCCTGCCTTCCAGTTTACAAATATTCTACCCAACTTTGCAACAAGTGCCGCACAACATACGTGTGATCTATTTTAAAACTCGCGGAAGAAAAGGGACAGTATTAGCATGATTATAAAGTTGGTTGACGGATAGAAAATTGAGTATAATGGTTAATGGATGTTTTTTGGCTGGGGACTAAGGTTGCTTTACCTAACATATATCAATGATCTAGCCCTTTGTGTACAGGCACAATTTCAAAATTTGTGGACAGTGCAAAACTTGGAGCCATTATGAACTATGAGGAGAGTAGCATGAAACTTCAAAAGGATGTAGATAGGTTGATGGATTGGTGGCAGGTGAAGTTCAATGTAGAAAAATGTGAGATAATACATCTTAGTAGCAGAAACATGAAGAAACAACACAACATGAATTGTACAGTTTTAATAGCAGTGCAGGGCTAGAGCGTGTATTGAAAGGTATATGATTTTTCAAGCTTGTGGCATGTGGGCGTTGGTTACTTTTGTGAAGAGTAAAAAAGCAATAAGTTGAGAAAGATCTCTTGATTCTTGAAATAATCTAGTATGTATCGCAGGGCAAGTGGCTGTAAAGTTCCTGCATTGTTTATAGAAGATTATTCATACTGTGAGGTTGATGACAGGAGAGCAAACATTGAAAGCTTCATTTTGGTTTAGAATAATCAAAGATTGATTTTTGCTTAAAAACTCGAGACTGAAAGCTGTTAGGACAGTTTGAGGATACTTGACCAGAATCGGAAGCAAATATGGTTTTTCTCCTAGAAAGAAGGAGACTGTAAAATTGGAGGCATGGTGGACAACGAAGAAGTTTACCTCCGAGTACAATAGGATCTTGATCAGATGGGCCAACGAGTGGCAGATGGAGTTTAACTTAGATAAGTAGGAGGTGCTGCCGTTTGGAAAGGCAAATCAGGGCAGGATTTATACACTTAATGGTAAGGTCGTGGGGAGTGTTGCTGAACAAAGAGGCCTTAGAGTGCAAGGTCATAGTTCCTTGAAAGTGGATATGCAGGTAGATAGGATCCTGAAGAAGGCATTTGCTATGCTTTGCCTTTATTGGTTGATTCATTGAGTACAGGAGTTGGGAGGTCATATTTAGGCCGTACAGGACATTGGTTAGGCCACTTCTGCAGTATTGTGTGCAATTCAGGCCTCCCTCCTTCAGGAAAGATGTTGTGAAACTAGAAAGGGTTCAGAAAAGATTGACAAGGATGTTGCCAGGGTTGGAGAGTTTGAGCTATAGGGAGAGACTGAATAGGCTCGCTATTTTTCCCGCAGCGTCAGAGGCTGAGGGATGACCATGTAGAGGTACCATGTAGAGGTTTATAGAATCATGAGGGGCATGGATAGGGTAAATAGGCACGGTCTTTTCCTCAGGGTGGGGGGTGTCCAAAACTAGAGGGCATAGGTTTAAGGTGGGAGGGGAAAAATATAAAAGGGATCTGAGGGGCAACTTTTTCATGCAGAGGATAGTGCGTATATGGAATGTGCTATCAGAGGAGATGGTGGAGGCTGGTACAATTACAATATTTAAAAGGCATCAGGATGGGTATATGAATGGGAAAGGTTTAAGAGAGATATGGGCCAAATGCTGGCAAGTGGGACGAGATTTATTTAGGATATCAGGTCAGCATGCATAAGTTGGACTGAAGGATCTCTTTCCGTGCTCTATATCTCTATGACTGTATGACTCTATATGAGTATAGTTTGTTTAGTTTATGAAACTTCTAGACTAAAAGTGTTTGGTTAGAAATTGACAGAGGATTAAAATATTGAGAAAGTCTAAGCTTTCAGATTTGTATTTATATAAGAATATCTCACAGTTCACAGGACAGAACTGTGGAGAAGCAGTTAAATCAAACTTAAAGACTTGATATTGAGGGATAATTTCTTTGGATTTGAATTGCTGTAAACTGATTATTGAGGAATAGATGAGATTGTTTTTGTTGTGTGTTTTAAGAAAACAGGTATGTTTTAAATGCATATGTTCATTAGCTATTTCACCTAATGATTTGTCTGTGATGGTCCTGCTACATGCGTTACCTCAAAATGAGAGCCTGCTGTGACATTAACCCACTCTATGATGCTTTCCTACTGATGGGAATACGGAGGGTCAGAAAATATGAATATATTTGTGTGATTTGAAGATTCATCAATGGCATGCAAGGCTCAGTAAACATTTTTTTTTCCTGTAAGGGACAGATCAGTTAAAATTACCAAAGGTTTTAATATGATTAGTACAGGGAGATTTTCTGTGCTCGTGGAGTTAGTAAAGAAAAGACATTAATTCAAAACTGTCTTCGGAAGTGAGGAATGATTTCTTTAGCCAGAAAGTAATTGGAGCATGAATAGTTTTGCAGTAGGGATAGAGTATTGTGGTTAAAGTGGAGAGAATTTGCAGTACTGAGGCTATAGGATTACTTTTGGATTGTTTTAGTATAGGGCAGGCTGAATCAGTGGGCTGAATTAACACTCTATTGTGTGAGCCCATGGTTGTAGTTTACAACATTATTTTACACACGCAATGCAGTCTTGTGAAAGAATTTGGGATGATCCATGGTAAAGTCTATCATTTAAAATTGTGAACATTTCTTATGGCTTTCTGTCTGAATCATGTGGCACTTGAACCCTTTTCAAGAGCACCTTAAGATTAACAAGGGATGACCATAGAATAATTATATATGTTTGAGACCGAAAACATTTAGCAACTAAAGTTTTGATTGTGTTGCATTACACCGTACCTTCAGCCTTTTTATTTATTGCGGTCAATTAAATATATCCTTCTTCTTAGGTTAATGAAGGCGGTATAAACTATAATAGTAACAATCTTACCACTGCAAGTACCAGTACTACTAATGCACTGCATGAGAAGTCATCTGAGGACCAACTTTGCCGGGCTTACAATGTCCCCCAGTCGATGGAATCCAATATACCTGCATCATTAGAAGACAATCTATGTAGGAAGCATTCAAATTACTATCTTGAGGACCACATAGACACCACAATTCTGAAGGAAGATCAGAATGATTTTACAGAACAAGTTTCTGATTTGTCTTCACCTGATAGTATTTTATGCCGATCGTCATTATTATCTCAGCAGCATGATTGTGTCAAGGCAGAAAGTCCTTCCACAAGCATCAAATATAAGCAAAGGTATGTCATTTACAATTTGTGATAAAGTTGATTTTAAGTAAATTTATCAACCATTTCTAAAATTTGATTGATCCAATTAAATTTCAAAAATGCAGATAACCGTTAATAGAATGTTTTTGGATTCTATTGTTATTTGTTTATTTTGGCGTATTTGTATCTCAAGGAAAATGGTTAACGAGAGGAAGTGGTAAAAAGAGCAATCTTAATAGCGGTATTTGCTCAAAGCAGAGTTAAAAAAATTGCCTACCAATGTTCAGCAACTTTTCACTGTTTGTCTTTGCCTCAATGCCATTGGCTTCTGTTTTTTGTTCTCTATAATTATTTCTCTGCCTGTATTATTTTTCTACGAATAGTTTTAAATAAGACTGCCTTCTGTCATTTAAGTTTTTTTTAGTTTAATGTCATATGGGGGCACCCATGTTCAAATGGGTTTTTCTACTCCTGCTTGATGGTAGGATGTTGTTCTGAATCACATTTCAGTTATAAAGTAGAATGGGTAGGATGGGGAGTGGAATAAAACAATAAGAATGTTTAAGCAGATTGTGTGCTTGATCAAGGATAATCAAGTGACTGACAGACAAGTCTTTGTAAGATTCATTTGTAATAATTTGTTATGCCAATACAAAGGGCACAATAAGTTGTGCTGTATCCAGGGGAGTTTTAGCTGCTTATCTCCCACCAATACAGATTTTACAATTATGTGCCCCACATTTGGGGACAGGTGTTAGCACCCGCAGTGCAATTGGCTTGCCTAGTCCTGGGAGAACGACCTTCATCATCATGGTCTCTCCCTTGGTTAGTATATTAGATTAGCTTTGGGAAACTGCATGTTAATTGAGTTTCCTGTGCACCCATGGTAGTATGAGACCATGACAATTTAAATTACCGGTGCTCATTAACAAACATTTGGTCCACATTTCCTGGTGAATCATGGGAATTAGGCAGAAACCAGATGCCGGTTTCCAGAGATTGAGCCAGTTTTTTTACGAGTAAGTAATTGGAAGTGGACGCTGATGGCAGAGGAAGGCATGTATGGAAGAGTGTTGGCGGTGAACGTTCGGGGATTGAGGCTGCTCTTGTTGTAGTGAAGATGGAGAGTGTAAAGAGAGCCCAGGGCAGTGAAGGCTTGGCTCATCCTTTTAGGGCCTTGGAGAGTGCTCCTGCATCTTGTAAGGCCATAAAGGAAAGTAAGAAATTATTTAGAGATCCTTTTCTATTTTCATAGTTTCTCTCCCAACTTCACTGCCCTGTTGAAGCTTATTTTATTTCTGAGACCCTTTGCTCTACCATTGACCGCTTTTGCTTCCTAGTCTACCTGTTTACTTTGGGCACATCTTTTTATTCATTCAGGATATCTGGGCTCTGCTGCTTCGGCCAGCACTTATTGCTGATCCTTAATTGCCCTTCAGAAGGTGGTGATGAGTTGACTTCTTGAACTGCTACAATCAATTTTGTGTAGGCGCACTCACCTAATGTTAGAGATTTTCACCATTTAGGATTTTGACCCAGCAACACTGAAGGAATGGCAATTTTGAAGCTAGGTCCTGATCCTCCATATTTTTTCATGGATTTGGACCAGTTTTTAAATGCCTCATGGTTCATAGCACTTCAGATGTGATCCATAAACTGCAGAAGGAAATGCTTAGGAGATAAATTCAAAATAACATTGTCAAAACACCTCCCTCGTACTGCTGCCATTCTAATTTCCCCATCTACAACCCATGTCTCCTAATGCTCCCCCATGCGAAGCAACTGCATTTCCATGTCATTTGCCCACTATGTGCTGTTTGTAACAATGAAAATGATGATGTTTAAAAGGTTTTTTTAAATAAGCAGTCATTCATTCATTACTTTCCATTTACTACATGTCAATAGGAGTGGTAATCATCCAGACCCTTTAAAGTATTTAAAGCAGAAACTGCCAGAACTTGAAACATCTTAAACTTATAAATGAGCATCATGCAGAGCTGAAGCTGTTAAACAGTGTTTTGACTGTTTTAACACTCCAATGGATGCCCTGGCTCTCAAACTAGAATGCATAGTAAGGCTGGGCTACGGTGTGTCCTAACTACCGCCATGGCCAAACTTCAGGCCACATGCTGATATAAAATTATAGTTGTGTTTATTGAACACATTAGCATTTTTTATAAAATAAACTTTAATTGATCAAAAATAACCAATAGATTGAAATTCCTTCAAACTAATCTCTGATGAAAACAAATATATAAACAGTTTGATAATAAATACCAAATCCAATAGACTAACAACACGAAAAATAGAAACCAGAAGCTCATTATGATATTGATATATTGTATGATTGCTTTCAAACTAACCTGTAATAACAGGTTAAAACCTATAATAACAGCCGTCATGCTTATGTCAACTGATAAAGTGAAATAGCAAGCTTGGAGTTTTTTTAAAAAGCTGTCATAGAATCTCTACAGTGTGGAAACAGGTCATTTGGCCCAACAAGTCCACACTGCCCCTCTGAAGAGCATCCCACCCTGACTCATTCCCCTACCCCTCTAATTCCCCATGTCTAAACCTAAACATCCCTAGACACTACGGGCAATTTAGCATGGCCAATCCACCCACCCTGCACATCTTTAGACTGTGTGAGGAAACCCAGACACAGGGAGAATGTGCAAACTCCACACAGACAGTCACCCAAGGGTGGAATCGAACCTGGGTCCCTGGTGCTGTGAGGCAGCAGTGTTAACCACTGAGCCACCGTATCACCCAAACCAGGGCACCCAGTGGAAACCCACGTAAATATGGGGGGAACATGCAAACTTCACATGGACAGTCACCCAAGATTGGAATTGAACCTGGGTCCTTGGTGTTGAGGCAGCAGTGCTAACCACTGAGCCACTGTCCCACTAGCCACTAGTCATCTGTCATGATCCTTGAGCATTCAATGAGTTTTCACAATTCTTTGACATCATGACTGTTGATTGACAGCTTTGATATATCCAATGAGTTCATGCAACTTTTTATACACAATTCCCAAGGCTGCCTGACCACTTTCACAGGGTACCTGACAGTTCACTTAGGCCTCAGTGATTCTAACTCAGCTTTCTCCTATTTGGGCTTCCAAACATTGATGTAGCAGATTAGACAGCGAGCTTTCAAATCTTTATGCTGTCTTGTCAGTAACCCATCTCCTCCAACAACATAGTTCCACCCTGATAGACACTGACTTTTCTTGAGGCCTTGATTACCATTCAACATCTGTCATCTGCTTGACCATAGGATCTCTTCCAGACTTGCCAGAACCAGTTCCAAGGTACTGAATCATTAGTAGCCAAGTTCTGCTATCTGTTAAAAACAATGCTCTATCTGGTGTCACTGTGTCTGTCGAACTCTTTTAATCATGACTCAGTCGGCAATCAACTTCAATCCTTGGCCTGACAAACAAACAAAGCTTGTTTGATTTTTTTTTGTTTGCCATAAGTAAAAAGGTTTCAAAAACAGCAAGTCATTCTTAAGCAACAACTTCCAGTTCATGGCTCCAAACCAAAATTGAAAAATCAACAACTATTCCAACATAAGAGCATTTTATTTGCTTAGGCTGTCCTTAAGTTGGAGAATTATTAAATAAAATTCATTAACCCAGGCAAAATATCAAATGAAAATGATTAAAAATTGATTTTGCATTTTCCAAAATGTATTCCAATGGTCACATTTGCTGAGTTGTTAGAAATGGTACTAGCCTAAGGTTGCATGGGATGAAAGGGCAAAGCTGTTCTCTAGGTATATATTGATCATAATTACCAAACACCTCCTTGGATTGGTATCAATATTATAAGTGAATTAGTAAGGAAACATACTTATTTTTGCAATATTAATTTGTTTGTAGACACCCTTTCACTAATTTGTTTTTGCAGGTTCAGCTTTGATGGCATTGATGCAGACAGCGAAGGAGAAGAGGTTTCAGACAGGTCTCAGGGCTCATGCACTCCAAAATCTCCAAATTCTGTTGCATTATTTGCCAGCAGTGGAGATGAACTGGATTCTTTTGAGATTCACCAGGAAACTGAGATAAACATCAAGGAATCTGAATCAAGGTCTTCATCCAACAGCTTGTTGCCAAAGGTACTAGAGCAGACTTTAGTAGTTAGGTGGAAAACCAATGCAATTGTGTAATCTGGGCAAATTTAAAAGCTGATATCCCAATGGAACATTGTCTCTATTCCAGCTGGCAATGCAACAACATGCTATTGGCAACTTCAGCTAAAGCTCTTAAGGCTAAATAATGCTGATTTATTTCTAGAAGGATGTAACACATGAAATCAATCAGAAATTTAAAATTAGATAGTTGATCAAAACAGGAAGCTCTATTTGACACAGAAATGTTTTATATGCACATATGTTTGACTTTATTATGTTTTGCAAGATGGTAACTAACAGATTACAAAACTATTGTTCAGACCATTCCATCTGGCATTAAATTTATTCAACAGTCAAAGGAAAGAATCTTAGAATTGTAATTTTCAAAAAAAAGATGCTGGATCTTGGCCCTTAAAAGTCATGATATAATTGAAAAAATTCAGCTGCAAAACATGTAACCCTCCTTATAATGAACCTTTCAGCAATAAGGATGGACCAGAAACAGTCTGTGATTGAATGAGCAGATACTTAGGCTTTCATGTAATGGATAACATTTTCTCACTGGTCACCTCCTCCATGATTAAATTTGCCTGGGAATTTTGAGGGTTTCTGGCGTGAAATTTCCCGCTGTCCCCTGTAGTTTGAATGCTGGTTGTCTATGCTATCAAACCATTTCACAACCTTGTATGTCTCAAAAGATCACCTTTCAATCTAAAATTCAGAGACAGAAAGTCCAATTTACGCAACCTCTCATCATAGAACAACTCTCTCACCCAAGACACCAACCTAATCAGCCTTTTTTTGTATAGACTCCGATGCAAGTATATCATCTCCATATTTAGGGAGTTAAAAATTTTTGCATAATTCCATGAGTTCTCTCATCAAAACCAAGTACAATTATTACTTAATGTCTTTATTCCTGTACTTTAAAGCCCTGTAATTAAAGCCAACATGCCTTTCCTATCTAATTGCTTGCTTTATCTGCATACTCTGTGTTTTTTGTATAAGTACACCCAAGTCCTTCAGAGCTCCCCATTTGGTCAGACGAATGTGGTATCAATACTGAAGAGGTTTGACAACATCCAAGACAAAACAGCCCACTTGATTGGTACTTCACACACCACATTAATTATTCACTTGTCTCACCACTGATGCACAGTGACAGCAGTGTGTATCATCTAAAAGTTGCAATGCAGAAATTTACCGAGTCTGCTTTGACAGCACTTTACAAATCAACAACCTCTGCCATCTAGGTAGTCAGCAGATGTATGGGACACCACTACATACAAATTTCCATCCAGACTACAAACCATCCTGACTTGAAAATACATCATTGTTTCTTAGTCGTAGTCATATAATCATACAGCATGGAAACAGACTCTTCAGTCCAACTAGTCCATGCTGACCAGGTTCCCAAACTAAACTAGTCCCACCTGCCTGCACTTGGCCCATATTCCTCCAAACTTTTCCTATTCGTGACCTCATTCAAATGTACCAGCATTCACCACTTCTCTGGCAGTTCATTTCCTCACACGAACCACTCTCTGTTTTAAAAAAAAAAGTGTCCCTCATTTATAAATCTTTCTCCTCTCACCTTAAAACTATGCCCCTTAGTCTTGAACTCCCCCACCCTGGGAATAAACCCTTATCTTTGCCTCTCATGATTTTATAGACCACCGAACGGTCACCCCTCAACCTCCAATCCTCCAGTGAAAAAAAATCCCAATCTTTCCAGTCTATTACTGGTAACATCCTGGTAAATCTTTTCTGAGCCCTCTCCAGCTTAATAATATCCTTCCTATAGCAGGGTGACCAGAACTGCACACACTACTCCAAAAAAGGCCTCACCAATGTTCTGTACAACCTCAACATAACCCAATAATTCCAGCCAAACTCCTTTCTAAACTTCAAGACCTCGGACTTTGCTCACCCCTCTGCAACTTTATGAATTTGTAGATTGAATACTTTTGTTTGCTTCAAAAAAAAAGGCATGCTTTCTCTTTGTGAATTATTGATGTTAAATAGTGCTTAAAATAGCTTCTGTCATACCTTTTGTACATTGTCAAGAAAATTGTCTCGTTCCATTGGTGAAAATGAAAGGTAGTTGATTATATTTACACCTGAAATAAAAAATGTCCTGTGTTTACTCTAGAATATAACATTTGATACAGTTTCTATTTGTTCTTTAAAGGAGTCTGAAGATACTGGAATTCGGCTGAGATCATACTCCCTTTCCTCTCCTAAAGTGTCTCAAAGCAAATCTCGATTCATAAGAGATTTTGGTGTGTTTGATTCCCCAAATGAAGGTTAGTATCAACAGAAGAGCAAAATAACTTTGAATAATAAAATATTGATTTTGTTTAAACAAAAGACTAAATCTATGTCATTGGTTAAAAATGGCATCTACTTTGTATCATCATATGCAAAGCATCACCATTTTAGATTCCTCATCTTACAATTAACAATTTTGCTTAAAGATGCTTAAGTCTATAGTATGAATTCACCTTCATGTCTGGACAGTTACATTATAGAACTGCCTGAATGAGCAGTTTGCTTTATAAAGTATATTCTTACCACTTTATGACAGGGCTTTGGCTTAACATTGGGAAATGAGATATGTGGATATATGAACTGTTACAGTAGTGTGCTACCCCAGATTGTCTGTCTGCCTGTTAAAGCTGAACTTGGTTTTCCACGTTCTTTGCATTCCTAAATGGAACATCACCTACACCTACTATACAAACTTATCCAGTATAAAGGAGAAGGTTTAAAATGGATATTTATGTTTTGTGGTATCCTCCTAACAGCTGATTCACATTGCTGTTTGTTGTTTGTCAGAATGTTGCAGGAGGTATATTGGCGAAGGCCAAAGAGAATCTATAAATAATTGATTAGTGAAGTTACTTTCTTCATCAGAGAACTTTACCATGCACAAAAATTATTTGAATTTAATATTTATGGGATTTAGTATCCAGATTTGTAATATCTTATTACTAGATATAAAACTCAAAACACATTTCTAATGTGTAGTTCCCTAAGTTATTTATTATTTATTTCTTTTACTTACTATATAATATTGGAGTTGACTATCTCCATTCTCAACATGGTGATGAATATACTGCATTTGTTTGCTTCACAGTACCGGTACCATGCAGAGTGAGCGCTCCTCATAAGATATCATGGTGCATCTGAATTTTTGTAGGTAGCCAGAAAGATTAAATTGAATTCACTATATTATTTATAAAGCAGTTAAAATATTAAGAAAACGGGCAACATGATACTGGAATGCAAAAATGTGCATAAACCATCCTAATTTCATCTATGATCTGTCGTTGCAGTTCCCTCTTACCTAGCCATTATGCTATACATTTAGGTGATATATTGTAGAACTAGAGTTTAGGCATATCAATGAATGAACACCCAATTAGATGTTGTTCTTTTGATCATTATGATGAGTCTGTCCCTGCTCTGTAGATGGTGTTTTCAGCAGTGGACGATCCCTTCTTCAAGCACTCTCACTATCTAAATCAGTTTCTCTGCTACACCATAGTAGTAAGTACCACTCATAATCAGATAATGCTGTCACAATTCTGCATGAAACTGCATCTGCTACCCTTTTATGTCCCTGTGTCTTATTGCTAAATGGACAATATATAATTCAATGTTGCTTGAATTGAAATCAAAACCAATGAATGCAGTGTGGTGTTAACTTGTCTCTTTGTTACGTTTTGTAAAGCTTGAAGTTTGTTATTACTTGATTAGTTTTATGTAAAATTTAAAAAGCCCTCGGAAATAAAAGCTGAAAATCCTCCTTGTAACTATGTGGCAGATAATGCAAGTTCTACTGAAACTGAGCACTTCAGACTACATGTGTGTACAGTTTTTTAACGATGTGCTGAGCGCAATGTGAATGAAATAAGGAAGGCCATGCATCCCATTTTAACTCACCTATCCAACAATTCCTTCTCCTCACCTCTATCATCTAATATGCTCTTGAATAGCTATCTTCATCTGGAAGTCCATTAAATCTATGCCAGATTTTCATTTCTCTTGTTTGAACTATCTTCATTTCATTTTTATTTGTTTGCATCTATGTCCTCCTTTCCTATTGCCTTCCTTTATTTCAAACTATATTCTGACTGAGATAACAAGGTGTAGAGCTGGATGAACACAGCAGGCCAAGCAGCATCAGAGGAGCAGGAAAACTATGTTTTTTACTGCTGAACATCTTTAATAATTCTCTACAGTTCTTCAATAGGATCATCTTTAAGAGCTAATTCCTCTTAATCCCCAACTCAGTTTTGTGACTGGGAAGTCATTCTGTCAATGTTTCTACATTGCTCTGGAGCTTGAACATAACTCTGGTGCCTTGATAACCAAAACTAAAAGCAGTCTTACCAAAGCATGATAAATACTGGGGCATGAAAACGGCATGAATACATGCCTCCTAACTTTCTACGTAAGCATTAAAAATATTCCGGTTTTCTTGCTGAAGTTTAACAAGGGGAATGGCAAGTTCATTTCATTATATTACAATAAATTCCTTCATGAGAAATATTGCATCATGACCTAGCATGGAGCAATGACTGCTTTGGTGCCATCTTGATTGAAGATGGTAGTTGGTTATTAAAATTATGTTTTATAATGTGATGAAAATTTGCTATTCTATTGCTGATTGTAAAGATCCTATTAAAAATATAGCAGTCACAAAGATGCCATCAAGTACTGTGATGGCAAAAATTGCTGGCCTGTCAATTGGTATTGGAGTGATGCGATCTTCCATTAAAAAGCTGATCTCAGATAACTGCTAAGTGAAAACCAAGGCCCCAGCTTTAACTGCTTCTCCTTGGCTGACGTTGGGTTAGGATGAATACAGTTAGTATACTGTAACTCACGAAGTCTCTCTGACCCTGCTGCTTTCTCTGTGTCCCAATATTAGCGTCTTCTTTCTTTTTGGAGCATTCAAGCAGGAAAGAAATGGTGTTATACTTTAAAGATGCAGATCAGGTCCAATGATATTAATTATACCATTGGAATCAAATTGACAATTTGAATGTGAGAACTGAGCTGGGAAATGGTGTTGGCAACCTCTTCAAGCAAAACTGCTGGGAGCTGGATCATGGATCAAAGGAGGACCGTGAGATAAGTCTTAAAATTTTATTTTTAGGGATCCTTGTGAGGCATGAAGTGTCCTGAGGAAGTCCCAGGCCTCTCTTGCACTCCCTACTCCCTTCCTGATCTTTGTGAGATCCAACCACCCTCCTGCTGTCATCACTCCCAGCTGCGGTCAGATCTGTGCCTCCTTCTAAATCCTTGCCCGATGCCCATCCTCCCCTCACTAACTGCAGGGGACAGTACTTGCTGTCAGGTGCCAATCCCACTTGCCAGATAGTGGATCCAGCTGGTTGTGAGGCAAGACTCTCTACGTATTTATTTTGTGAAGCCTCCTTGTTCGGAGCAGAAAAGCCAGGAGACTTGCAGAAATCCCCACTGGGATTGCTGCACAATGTTCTCCTGCCTCCAGCTGCATTTCCCACGAATTTCATGGGGGTGGGCAGCCAATTTGGGCCACAGTTTCTGCCGCCAATGGAACTTTCTCGATGTTGCATAATTCCATTTCAGAGCCTGGCAGTGATTTGGGGGATGCCTTTCGGTAGGAATTCAGAGGGTCAGCAGAGTGAGTCTGTTTACAATACTCCACCTGCAAGCACAGAGCTGCAAAGCTGTAAGTCAAGCCCATGACCAAAATCATTCCTGCATTGGGGATCCGCCTTCCACGTTGAATGCCCAAACAGCTTTCGACCTTTATTTCTAAATAGTCCAAGACAACGTCTATTTTGAGGCAGCCCTGTGCTCAACTACTTTACCTCAGCAGCACTCAGCTCTTCCAGTGGAGCTGCTGGTAGTCCAACGCTGCAGGCTGTCTCACTGGGTCTCCCTCACAATTGTCCTACTCACTGTCCTTAATTGTATAGCCAACCTGGAGACTAGCAATGAGGAGTATGCTTCACTTGAAGTTCTGTTGGTAGATGCGCTGCTGGGAAATATGCATATGGGTCTGTGTATGGTCCTTGGATCAGTGCCTCCATAACCATAGAAAATATCGTTCTGAACTTGCTCATGTGAAATGATGGAAATTCATGAGGATGTATTCACTGGATTTCACTCATGGGCCTTTGGGACATGAGTAATGTGGATGACCAGGGCAGGCTGGTTCTCTGTTTGTCTGTTCTCTGCCATAGGCATTGTTTTCTTTTGCTGTGGAAAGCTGAAAGTGAGATAATTCAATTTCTGCAGATGTTGAGAATTTAATATATTGTACTATTTCAGTTCAGAATGATTGTCACTGCTATTGTTCTTAATAGGGATTTTGATGAGGGTAGTGAACACATGATTTTGCAATGAACAAATGTAAAGGGAAATAGAACAGGAATGGGCCTTTCAAACGCTTGACCCTGTTCTGCCATTCAGTAAGATCATGGCTGATCTCTGGCCAAACTCCATACAACTACCCTTGACCATAGCCCTCAATATCTTTGCTTAACACAAACATTTTTTGTTCACTGAAGTTTACTGTTTCAAGTCGTCAGCAGTTCCTCAATGGCAAAGTATTCTGATCAAGCGGAACTTCTGAAGCAATGGTTATTATGAACCCACACTTCATAGAAATGTACATGAAGTAAAGATGATAACTCAGGTTGTCTCAGTTGTGAAAGTTTAGCAATTAATGTTGTCATAAAAGCCTGACTTTAGTAACAAGCTGATTGGCGGGCAATGACTGCTGGTTTGGGAGAAATGTTCACTTGTTCTGATTTACAACATGGAGTCAAATTCTGAGTTGTATGCATGTCAGTTTTCAAATAAAGTGCTTTAATCCTGAGTCATTATCTCCACACGCTGAAAATTAAGAGAGGGGTGTATTTTGATGTTTTGCAGCCAAAGTAAATTGTTTGAAGTCAGTCCAAACAGCAACAGCAGCAGCAATATAGCGAAGGAGAGTGAACCTGGGGGTGAACAACAGCAGCAGGATAAATACCTAAGGAGTGGGGTCAGTCAGACCAAACCTGGGCATGAACAGCAGGATAGATACCAGGATAGATGTTAGAGATTTGGTTGAGAGAAGGACAAGACTGGCCGCTTAACGTTCTGGGATTTAGATGTTTCTGGTATGATAGAGAGGGATGTAAAAGGTGGGGGAGTTGCACTACTGATTAAGAAGAATATCATAGCGATACTAAGGGAGCACAACTTAGAGGGCTTATCCAGCAAGACCATATGGGTAGAGTTCAAGTAATAGGAAGAGTGCAGTCACTCTGGGATTGTACTGTAGACATTCCAACAGCCAACGGGTTAATAGAGGATAAGATATTTCAAAAAATTATGGAAAAATGTGAAAACAACAGAGTTGTTGTGGTTGGTGAAGGCTTGGATGGGGGCGGAGTTTGTTAGGTATGTCCAGGACAATCTATAAACAGCCCAGAGATAGTATGAACTGCCGATGCTGGAGTCTGAGATAACAGTGTGGAACTGGAGGAGCACAGGCAGCATCAGTGGAGCAGGAAAGTTGATGTTTTGGGTTGAGAACCTTCTTCAGAAATGGGGGAGGGGGAAGGGAGCTCAGAAACAAATAGACAGAGGAGGGGTGGGGCTGGGGAAGGTAGGTGGGATGGTGATAGGTGAGTGCAGGTAGGGAGTGGTGGGGATTGGTCAGTGAGGTGGGAGGAGCGGATAGGTGGGAGAGAAGACGGACAGGTTGTGTCCGGTAAGGAGACGGGGATGAGAGGGAGGGTTGGTCGTGGGATGAGGCCGGGGGTGGGAGATTTTAAAACTGGGCGTATTCCATGTTTGGGCCATTGGGCTGTAGGCTCCCAAGGTGGAATATGAGGTGCTGCTCCACCTGTTTGTGGGTGGTGTTATTATGACATTGGAGGAGGCCCAGGATGGACATGCCACCCAGGGAGTGGGAGGGGGAGTTGAAATGGTTGGTGACCGGAAGGTGGTGGTGTTTATCGTGAACAGAGCGCAGGTGGTTCTACAAAACGGTCTCCGAGCATCCACTTGGTCTCACCGATGTAGCGGAGGCCACATTGGGAGCAGCGGATACAATAGACCACGTTGGCGGATGTGCAGGTGAACATCTGTTTGATGTGGAAGGTTTTTCTTGGTTCCTCGAATGGAGGTGAGGCAGGTGGTGTAGGGGCAGATGTAGCACTTACTGATGCAGGGAAAGGTGCCGGGGGTGTTGGGGCTAGTGGGGAGTGTGGAGCAGATGGGGGAGTTACAGAGAGCGGTCCCTATGAAAGGCAGGTAAGGGTGGGGAGGAAAATATTTCTTTGGTCATGGGGTCGGATTGTAGGTGGCAGAGAACGATATGTTGGATACGGAGGTTGGTGGGATGATATGTGAGAACAAGGGAGATTCTGTCTTTGTTTTTGTTGCGGTGAGGGCAGAAGTGCCAGAAACGCAAGAGATGCAGTTGAGTATTTTCGATCACTGAATGGGGGGCATTTGCGGTCCTTGAACTAAGAGGACATCTGGGATGTTCGGGAGTGGAACGCCCCATCTTGGGAGCAGACGCAGCGGAGGCAGAGGAATTGGGAGTAGGAGATTGCATTCTTGCAGGAAGGTGGGTGAGAGGAGGTGTAGTCTAGGTAGCTGTGGGAGTCAGTGGGCTTGAAATAGAGCAGTCCAACTTGGGAATGTGCTGTATTAGAATTGTATTGGGGAATGAGCCAGGCTAGGTGATTGATGTTTCAGTGGGGAGCATTTCTAAGTAGAATGTGGTTACAAATTTCTTGTTTGTCGGAATCCTTCCAAATCTGATCATTTGACTTCTTGCACAATTTCTGTCTATCCCAGAAGAGTACAGTGACATCTGCTTTGAAGACTCTCAAGATATAAGTACCCTTTAGTTCTCCAAATGCCTGGTGCAATAGATTTTTGTGGTCTCCGTCCAATTCTTATTAGAAGTGGCCCGCAGTACAACTTTGCACTAATGCTGTTAAAACACAAGGTGTGCTTTTCAAACTGTGATACTATTTTTGAGCCACGAACAGGGAGGTTTACTGTGTCGGAGGTACATGGGATTACAAGCTGCTGAGGCTTTTGTGCTAGACCTAGAAAATATTACAATTTTCTGGAACAAATGAAGCTCCCCCAAATACCACAAAGTGTATTTTTTTTTAAAAAAGACTGCATGCTAGTGTTTGAACATGGGGATACAAATTATATGTTCAGTTTCAAATGTCTAAACCAGACTTTGTGTTGTCTTGTTAGAAGCTTCTTTTGAAAGATACCTCATTAGCATGAGTTCAATGAAAGTTAGTTACTTCAAGGAAAATGTATTTTTCTAATTTGTTGTGTGTTGTAAACTTTTCTATATTGCTTTGTTTCAGAACAGCGAACCTTCAGTCTGCCTGAGCATCCGAAAGAAAAAAGGTACAGTAACACACATTAGCCTTGCTGGAATTAGGTAATTGAACTCAGCCAGCATGGTTAAAATACCAACTCACAACTGCCTCTGGAGATATTCAGAATCTAGATTGTAGTAATCACAGGATTTTTGCAAACTGGAGAGAGCAGCCTATGCCATGGTTATTGTATCTTGGTCAACATGTTGATAAGCATGTTCAGAGTATACACCTATGTATATCGCTCCAAAACAAATAGTGGTAATGATCATAAGCTTTTATTGCTTAAATTCTAGTGCAAAATCCAGTGGCATTTATTAACATGTGAAGACATCATTTTATAAATTTTATAACAATTGATGTGCATGACATTCTTTCACTTTCATTGGAAAGAATGAAAACCGGAATGGAAATTGTATCCTGGGAGGTCTGGGGGAATGCACCCCAAAAGTTGAAAATTTTGCATTAAAATTATTCCTTCCTGGTTAACTTTAAGAACTATGATATTTCACATTTGATACATTTGCATTTAGAAATCAAAAAACAAAATGTTGTGCATTTCAGCAGAACAAACATGTCATTTTCCAAACATTTACTACAATAGTCAATCATCTGTCTAAACACTGCTGTCCTCAGTCATAAAGGTGAGTGAGGGAAGAAGCAGCATGCAACAGAGGGCATGTCAGTGTGGAAACCTAGGGTAGAGGTGAGTGCAGGAGCAGAAGTAGAGTGTGAAGTAGCACTTGCAATGGTGTCATGGAAAAGGTTATTGACCTTCTTCAGCTCTGATGCTTCATCATCCAAATCCAGGACAAGGTGCTGACACAGGTAGCAATCTCTGATCAGACAGATATTGTGAAGTGGCACAGCCTCCTCTGTCTGTCCTCCAGGAAGAGGATGGCCCTTCTGTGCACCATACTATCAACCAGGACCTCCAAGTCCTTGTTGTAGAACCTCAGTGCCGATTTGCCCTTGTCAGTCATCTTTGTCCAGTCATCAATCGTGAGCAGAGCAGGTGTCAGATGCCCATTGCTACTTTCAGGTGCACTATGGGCTTCTGAAGATAGTGCAACTGCAAAGAATGCTGGTCTTATGGCGGATGTTCAGTGAGGTGTTGATTCTTCCAGGAATGGTGCATGTTGGGATAGATTGGAGATAGGGCGTGATGCTCGCTGTTGGATCAGCAACAATGATGAGTTTGGTAAGATACGTTGAGAAAACTAACCTGCTCTTATGATGAGTTTCACTCGACCAAAATCAACAAAACTCCCACTTAGTCAAAAAACAAAAATCTTTCTCAATAGCCCATTCTTCTCCATTTCTCAAGATTTATTCATTTCCCTTCCACTCATCAGTCTATTAAGATGACCACCACACCTGATTCTGCTATATATTCTGTTCCTACAACCTCGTAAAAGTCATACGCCTCTTCGTGGATGGATGTAGTATAGTTTAAATTTCAGAAGGTTTTTGATAAGGTCGCTCAAAGGTGGCTGGCTTGCAAAATTTGACTACGGGGTATAGGAGGTAATTTATTGGCATGGATTAACAATTAGCTGACATGCTAAAAACAGGAAATAGGAATAAATGGGTCATTCTCACATTAGAAGACTGCGTTCCTAGCAGAGTACTACAAGGATTAGGATTTGCACTGAACCATTTGCAATACATATCAATGACTTGGACATGAGGATTAATATTTTCAAATTTACAAATGTCCCAAAGCTAAGTACAGATGTCTGTTAAAAGGAAGATGAAAAACATTTCCAGGAGGATTTGGACAAGCTTAGTGCGTGGAAAAAAACTTGATAGATGGGTTATGATGTAAAAAATGAGGTAATCCACTTTGGCAGGGAGAAAAGATGTGCAGTTTTTCTTTACTGATCAGTAAAGTGTAGGTGTGCAGACTTGGGTGTCTTTGTCAGTAAGTCACTGAAGGCTAATATGCAGGTGCAGCAAGCTATTGGGAATGCTAATGAAATATTACCCTTTATTGTGAGATAATTTAAGAACAGGACCAGTGAAGTCTTGCGTCAGTTGTATAGGAGCTTGGTTTGACCGCATCTGGAGTACTGTGTGCAGTTTTGGTCTCCTTATCTCTGCAAAGATTTAATTGTGATAGAGTGAGTGCAGTGAAGGTTAATGAAAGGTGATTGGGCAGATTGGGGTATGTATTTTTTAGAGTTTTGAAAAATGAGGGATGATCTCATTAAAACCTACACAATACTTAAAGAGGTAGATGCAGGTAAGATGTTTCCTCCTGTTTGGGGAATCTAGTATGGTAGCACAATTTAAAAATAAGGTAGATACCATTTAGCACTGAAATGAAGGGAAATGTTTTTATTTGGAGCTGGGGTGTATCTTTTGGAATTTTCTATGCCAAAGAGCTGTGGAATCTCAAAAACAAAATACTGTGGATGTTGGAAATCTGCAGCAAACACGAAAAATGCTGGAGAAACTCAACAGGTTTGGCAGCATCTGTGAAAAGAGAAACCGAGGAAAACACTTTTTTTGAGTACTTTAGAACTGAACAAGGTTGGAAAATTTCTTTATACTTTTGACAGAAAAGAAAGAGTGGCAAAGGGAACAGGTGGTGTAGAGGCCCTGTGCAAAAGACAGGGGGTTTGTTAATGTGGTGAAAGAGAAAAAGATATAAAACTAGTATAAATTACAGTGTGAGAGGGAGAGAATGGGTTCCCTCTACTGAAAGCAAAGTAAATCAGACACAAGCAAGACAAGACCTTGGGAGTAATGGGGAAAAGAATGTACGAAAAATGGAGAGCAGACATCATGTGGTTAGGCTCTGAAATTATGGATTTCAGTATTGATACTTAGGGATGGTAAAGTTCCTAAGTGGAAAATAAGGTTGTTACAGAGGGAATGATCCCTGCAGAATACTGACAATAGATGGTACAGAGAGATTTGTTTGGTGGTGGCATCCTCCTGGAAGTGGTGGAAGATGAACCTTTGGGAGGTGAGGACAAGGGGTACCCTATACTGTTTTAGGAAGGAGTGAGGAAAGAAATGCAGGAGTTGTTAAATATGGCTGAGGGCCCTGTCAACCACAGTGGGAGGGTGGGGGCAAACCTTAGTTGAGGAAAAAGGACAAGGTCAGAAGTCACATGATACCAGGTTATAGTGCAACAGGTTTATTTGAAATCACAAGCTTTCATAGCACTGCCCCTTTGTCAGGTAAAGTGCACATAGGCACAGAATTTATAGCAGAGAGATCAAAAAAATCTCATGAATGGTGTGAGTGGAGTGTCGACAGGTTGAATAATAAGTCTCTGCAGGTGATCAAAAGTGTCAGACTGTGTGAGTAAAGTGTCAACAGCTGAAGTGATGAAGGTGCCCTCACCAGAACAGGATATGATGTTCAACTCATCGATTGTCCGTTCCAACGTACCACAGCAAAAAATTGCAGTGACCTCCTCAGAAGACAGATGCAGGACATGACCGATAGAGTACCCTTTGTTCCAGTACTTCCCCAGAGCGGAGAAACTACACCATGTTCTCCGCAGCCTTCAACATGTCATCAATGACGATGAACATATTGCCAAGATCATCCCTACATCTCCAATTCGCACTCTCAAACAACCACCAAATCTTAAACAGACCATTGTTTGCAGCAAACTACTGAGCCTTTAGGACAACATTGACCACAACACCACACAACCTTGCCATGGCAACCTCTGCAAGACATGCCAGGTCATCAATGTGGATACTACCATCACACATGGGAACACCACCCACCACGTACACGGCAGGTACTCATGTGACTCAGCCAATGTTGTCTGTTTCATAAGCTGCAGGCAGGGATGCCCTGAGACATGGTATATTGGTGAGACCATGCAGATGCTATGATAATGGATGAATGGACACTGCACAGCAATCGTCAGACAGGAATGTTCCCTCCAGTTGGGGAACACTTCAGCGGTCAAGGGCATTCAGCCTCCGATTTTTAGGTAAGTGTCCTCCAAGGCAGCCGTTGAGATACACAACAACACAGAATCACCGAGCGGAGACTGATAGCCAAGTTCCGTACACATGAGGACAGCCTCAACCGTGATCTTGTGTTCATGTTGTGCTAAATGTAACCACACCATACTGTTCTGTATCTGTAAAATCTTCCTTTACTGTCCTGTTTTGACACCATCACCTGGATAAATTATGATCTCTCTACCTTAAATGTTTGTACAGTTTTGGATTACTTGTTACTTTAATTAGACCCTCAGCATGCAACTCTTACACCTATCATGTTATTCCAGCCACCTTGGTTTGTCTCCAGCACCACCTTATTTTTAATTTTTTATAATTATCTCTCTGCCTCAATTAATTAGATTATAGGTAATCCCTTCACTTGTTATTCAGTTGTTGACACTTTAGTCACACAGTCTGACACTTTTGATCACCTGCAGAGACTTGTTATTCAACCTGTCGACGCTCCAGTCACACCATTTGTATGATCTTTTGATCTCTCTGCTATAAATTCTGTGCCTATGTGCACTTTACCTGACGAAGAGACAGTGCTCTGAAAGCTTGTGATTTCAAATAAACCTGTTGCACTATAACCTGGTGTTGTGTGACTTCTAACCTGGTGTTGTGTGACTTCTAACCTTGTCCACCGCAGTCCAACAACGGCACCTTCTCATCGAGGACAAAGGAGGTCATGTTGGAGGCAATCCATTGTGACAGAGATGGAGAAACTGGGAGAATGGAACAGAAACCTTGCAGAAAGCAGGGTGTGAGGAGGTGTAGTCGAGGTGACAATGGATATTGGACAGAATAGTCTATTCTTATTCCTATGCTCAGATAGAGTCATAGAGCCAAAGAGATGTATAGTAGAGAAACAGAACCTTTGGTCCAACTCGTCCATGCCGACCAGATATCCAACATAAATCTAGTCCCATTTGCCAGCATTTGGCCCATATCCCTCTTAAACCCTTCCTGTTCGTATATCCATCCAGATACCTTTTAAATGTTGTAATTGTACCAGCATCCATCACGTCCTCTGGCAGCTCATTCCAT